AGTTGCTATTTCAGTGACGCATACATAGGCTTATCATGGACTAGTGAAGCAATAGCACCCTAACCAGCACTGGTAAAATGACATCTTAGTTATTATGCTGAGCAGCTCAGGGCCAAAAGTATATCTAAGAAATTCAGAGAAGGGCAAAAAAATGATTAAAGTTCTAAAGTGACTACATGGGAAGACTGAAAAGGTGGCATGTAATACACGCACACTCAGAGGCTATTTATCCAAATGTGTATGTTACATTCAATTAACTGTGGAGTGTAGATACCAAATAGAATGACTTAGAGTCATCTAAGGAAAATTATTAAGAGTAATGGTATAAAACCATCAGCCAAGGTAAATTAGACTGAATATAAAGAATGAAACTGAGGAAGATGAATTTGATTGTATAAGTTATAGTTAACAGCCTATATGGTAAGCCTAAATCTATTTATAATTGCATCAAAAATACTTACCTTTAAAAAATTCATGTTTCAAAGTCAAGTATGGCACTTGGATAGCAAATGGAAGAATTATGTTTTATGTGCAATATTAATTCTGCCCATTTGAATATGTGTGTTCTTGGGTTATGAAACAAAGGAGTGTAGAGAATGGATTATCCCAGGACACGAAAAGTTGTGAAATGATTATGATCTATTAAGAAATTCATTTCTGCAAGCAGTGCAATCAGTTGTTTAGTTTAGTGCTAAATATTTGCACAAAAAATATTATTTTGCAATAGTTTGTTGAAGAGACATGTTGCACTTGAGGACTTTATATAATTCTCATATAAGATGGTTCAGTTGTTAATTCAGATACAAATTCAGATTACTTTTAAGCTTAAAGACAATTGTTTTTCTTGTAATTAACTCCACTACTTCTACAATTTGAACAGGAGGGAACTCTGAAAAAAATATTAGGAGAATTAAGCTCTAAAAGCAAGGTAATATTGATTTATCAGTTTCATCATGAAAATGCCATTACTTAATTATAAGGATCTGAATCGCCACATAATTCTTAGAGTTAGTATACCCAATATGGAAAGTTGTATGGAATTGAATAGGGATCAAATATATGTGGCCCTATAGACATTTAATAGCACTATATAGAAATGTCTCTAAGAAACTTTTAAATGAAATTACTAATCTTTCTATAGGTTTTTTTTTAACTATCCCAGTGATACACTTTAATTTGTCCATTGCATTCTACATTTTTCTATAAGCTTTTGGGTGCACAGAGAACCTCTGCAACCCCTGTGGAAGTACCATAGAGCTTCCATAATATGGAGAGAAAAAAACTTCTCAGAGGTGTAGCTGTGTTAGGCTGAAATTTTAAGAACAATAAGTAGTCCTGTAGCTTTGAGAGACTACCCAAAATATATAGAATCATAAGGCTTTGTGGGCAAAACCCAATTCATCAGATGAATTGGAGTAGAATGAAGTGGGTTTTGCCCATGAAAGCTCATGATTCTATATATTTTGGATAATCACTAGGGTAAGTGTACACTGCATGGTTATTTTGGGATATCCCAAAATAGCTACCCCACATCTACATAAGCCACTCATTATTTTGAAATATTTTTTGAAATAACAGGCACACTATTTTAGCATACCTATAACCCTCATTCCATCAGGGTTAAGGGATGTCTCAAAATAGTGCATTACTTTGAAATTTGGCACTGTGTAGACACCCCAAATTTCAAAATAGCCTATTTCAAAATATATTTGAAATAAGATAGGCAATTTGCGTAGCACAAATTGCATATCTTAATTCGAGTTCAGGGTGCTGTGTAGATGCACCCTAAGGTGCCATCAGACCACTCATTTTCATAGTATGGAGAGTCTTTCACAAGCCTTCTGTTAAATGACACATTTCACTCACAATAAAAACCTAAAGAAATAGGCCCCGGCTTAGGGTAAGGCAAGCAAGGCGGTTGCCTTGGGCCCCTCGCCTTCAGGGCCCTGCCCTGCTTGGCACCCGCCCACTCAGCTGCTCGCTCGCTGCCCAGTCTGGGAGCCACCCAGGCACGCGGTGCAGCCACCTTGGGCCTTGCAAATTCTTTGGCCGGGCCTGTAAGGAAAGTATTTAAAATGGTGTTAACTGAACTGGCAATAGATATGTCAGAGCACTACAAACATTCAGGGTTACATTCTGAATCAGGTGAGTTTAGGGTGTATGTGACATTCAGGAAAGGATTAACTTTTCAAAAATACTAGCTACATGCACAGCTTCAAAGTATGATCACCAGTTGTGATTGCATCATGAACTTTTCCTCTGTAATTGACGATTTTTATTTATTTTTCACTGTTCACTATTGCTAGAGGTCAATATTTCTCTTCAGTGGACAGTATTATTGCAATGTTTTAAAATATTCTTCTCATTTAAATTTAAATCCCCTTCCTTGGGTGTGTGTAAAACTCAAATGGTAAAAGTATTAGAAAAATCTTCCACTGGAAAGAGATTAGATCACCTATCAAAAAAACTCTGTAATTTCTTTGGGCTCAATTAAGAGAACAAGCTTTGTGTTAATCACGCTAGCACATATTGCTAATTACACAGACTAATGTGGTATTTTTGTTCTATTTCATATCGTAAATTAATTGCAAATATTGAGTTTAAAGATTAAGAAGGACTGACATATAGCATAGGATGTTATTAAACTCTTTCTTCTGTTTCACTTCTGAGAATTCTTAAACATTGGAGAGAATATGGTGATAAGAAACAGAACAGAGTATTATATTAGATCCATTACCAAATTCTTATCTCTAACACCAGGAAAAAGGGAATCCATTTTTTCATATCTTTGTTAAAGTAAAGCTTTTTAAAACTAATTGCAGAATTTTCCACAATTAAATGCTATTCTTCAAAGCTATATGTGGATCTTTGAGACATGTACATTTTCTAACAGTAAATTCAGTTGAGTTACATTTTATATAATTCTCATGGCTTTTACAGCTTAAACTATATTCTGTATTAGAAACATTTTCAAATGAGTGCTGCATTCAATAATGTTTTACCAGACATCTCAAGTTCATCCAATGCTCTAAGGAAGACTGAATGACACAGGAAATAAGTACTAAGCTAGAAGTCATTCCATGTCTAGGTCTGCTGTGTGTAATGTAATTACACACAAAACGCAATATTAAATGAATTTTATTAAATTGCAAAATCAAGCACTGAATAGTTGTGAAGTGCCAGAGATAAAGCAGATTGTCCAACCTTAATTTGCCATACCAGTCTCAGTCTGCGTGCTTAGCCAGTCCCACTTCTCTATTCCTGTCTTCTCAGTCAATCTCTCTCTCCCCCTTCTCTTTTTCATGTCCTCTGTACCCCTATATTCTCTAGAATCCTTTGAATCCTAATCTCAATCCTGAAGTTATCTCCCTACATCAGCTCCTTTGACCGGTCCCCTCATCTGAATCTCAATCCCCCAGCTCACTCCTAATCTCCTTGCCCAGATAGTCACAATCCCTGACCCCACCTTCCAGGATCCTTGGCAGGTCGGTCTCACTCATACTCCTTTCCAACTCCTCATTGCAATTTCCCTCTCCCTCCTGCCAGGCTTCAGCCCCAGTCTCCCTCCTCCCAGGTCCTTTGTCCAAGCTGTGCTCCTCTGCACTATTGGGTGTGGCAGATCTGACTCTTGATTTCTCTGTATTTGAATCTGGCAGCTTCCTACTCCAACGTGCCTGGATTCAGCAAAGGGATCATTACGAACAGTGCAGTACACCCTGCATCAGACCACAGCTGCAACTGAAAGGAAAGTCTTCCTTTACTCCAGGATTGAACATGCCTAGTGTGGGTAGAATGTTCAAAGAATTTAGCTGCTAAAATCCATGACATTTCTATTAAGCATGTGCAAAATGAGGGATTTCAGAGATTTACAACTTGACCAGATTTGATAGATTTTCAGGAGGATGATAAAAAAAAATCTAGATAAAGGCTTCCTCTCTGAAAACATGTAAATCCCTGTTTCAAAGCAAGGAGGCTTTAGAGCTGTAATACAGTGGCCAGAAATTTTTAAACATTTGTATCTTGTCTCATTCTGAGAAAACAGCTGAACTGTCCTGGATCACATAAATAAAATAATAATGATTTAAAAAATAACCTCAGGCAGATGGCTGTCATGGACACATTCAGCCGAAATGGTTAAGTTTGATAGAATTATAAACCAGAGAAAACACAGTCTTATAGCAAGAAGTGTCAGACATGCTATCAACATATCTAAAATAAGCCTACACACACACACTTGCACTAATCCCCCCCCCATTTTAAAACTTCCCTAAAAAGGCATTAGCATTACATTTACCAGCAATTGGCATGATCTGTCTTCTTGTATGTTACATTCCTTTTTCTTCTCTCTTTAAATTGTGAGTTCTTTTTAGGGGAGAAACCATCTCTTATATAATGGAGTTCCATTCCTGGTTTTTCACCTCTCAGCTCTGCTGCAAGAGAAAAATAATAATCATGCAAACTTAACTTAGCTTCATAATAATGGCCAAAATTGTTACTATTCTATAGGTGTTTGGACTCCTGTGTCAAATTATTCTTTCTTATGGTATCACTTGCAGAGTGCTGGGCACTTGTCCACTCTCTTAGGCCATATCTACACTACAGATAACAGCAAAGCAGCCACAGTCGATCTTCCGGGGTTTGAATTAGTGTGTCTAGTGAAGACATGCTAATTCAAACTGAGAGGGTGCTCCCATCGATGTTGGTAATCCTGCTTCTACAAAGAGTAAGAGAAGTCGAAGGGAGAGAGCGCTCCCTTCAACTTTCCACAGTGTGGACAGCGCCAATACTCAAGATATTTCAAGTTAAGCTACGCAATTAATGGAGCTAAGGTTGCGTATCTTATTTCAAATGTATCCCCTAGGGCAGACCAGGGCTTATAGAACAAAAGTGTTGGCTTTAGATCTGTATAATACTTCTGTATAAGTAGTTTTACAATTCTGAAAATATATGTTCTGTCACCAAAGTTTTACCAGCTTATGTAAAGAAGATATTACCTTAAACTTTCGTTATGTGGGAATTTGGACCATGTTTTGCTGTAAACTCTAGAGACTGCAATGTGTTTTAGACTACTGGCTGAAATTTTATTGCCCCTTTTGTCCTTCAGTCCAATGCTGGAATGTATGTTCTGCCTGCTGCTGCATAATTTAAAATCTTCATCCTGATATGAATATTTTAAATAGAAAGGCAGGGTAAATATATATATATATGGTTAGGACTGTATCCTAGAATATCATAATAGTAAGGGATTGCAACTGGTGCAGAATACTCATTGCTTGTGACCAGGGGCGGATATAGGGCAGGGCGAGTGGGGCGGAATACTCATTGCTTGTGACCGGGGCGGATATAGGGCAGGGCGAGTGGGGCGGCCGCCCCGGGCCCCACTCTTCAAGAAACCCCACGCATGTGCCGTGGCACCACTGGGCATGCGCCGTGTCAAAGGGGGGGGCGCCCACGAAATTGTGCTGCCCTGGGCCCCGCAAAATCCTTACCTGCCCCTGCTTGTGACTATATTTATAATCTTTAATCATCTTCTTCCCCCCTCTGCCCTTCTTCCCATCCTAATAAGGATATTTGTATCCTTTTGCTGAGTTCTCATAGACTTTAAGGTCAGAAGGGACCATTATGAACTTCTAGTCTGACCCCCTGTACAATGCAGGCCACAGAATCTCACCCACCCACTCCTGGAATAATCCTTTCACCTATATCTCAGATATTGAAGCCTTCGAATAGTTTAAAGACCCCGAGAGTTAATTGTTCATTTAATGCAGATATGTCAAGTTAATTGTCCACTTATGGATATATAGCTCTATTTAAACTTTGCATCCATTTTTGCAGAAACCACAAATACTGCAGTACATAGACCTATGATCAACAGCAGCAGGTCCAAGTAGTTTGGTCTTGTCTAATTACAATATGAATTACATTTAGCACATGTGTTACCTAATAAAATAAAATCTGCAGTACATAATTAAGTCATTTAAGACATACATTTTGCTATAAACTCTGATTCATTGTTCACATAGCTTGCAGCATTAAATTTAGTCCATATTATAGGACACTCAACTCACTCTTATAATTGCCTGTCAAAAGGTATGAGTTAGGAAATGACTACCTAGGAAGAAACAATGAGGAGTCCTGTGACACCTTAAAAAAAAAAACTAACAGATTTATTAGGCCATAAACTTTTGTGGGTAAAAACCACTACATCAGATGCACAGGTCTGATGTGTCAGATGCCACAGGACTCCTCCATGTTTTTGTAGATATAGAATAACAGAGCTAACCCTCTGAGACTTGCCTTGGAAGGAATACTACAGAAAAGGATCTAGAGGTTACAGTGAATCACAACTAAATATGTCAACGATGTTAGGCTGTGTAAAAAAAAAAGCCATCATTCTGGACATAATAAACAATTCTTGCATTCTACTCACATCTGATAAGGTCTCAGTTGGATTCTTGTCTTCAGTTTTGGGCAAAGATTTGAACAAGTTGGAGAAAACTCAGAAGAGAGCAACAAACATAATGCAAGGTCTAGAAAACACGACCTACAAAGAAAGATTCAAACAATTAAATTTGTCTAGTCTGAAGAAAAGACGACAGAGATGCACAATAAATCTTCAGATATGTAAAAAATTGTCATGCTGAGAAGGGTGACACATTGTTCTCCACTGAGGACAGGACAAGTAGTAACTCTTTTAAATTGCATGAAAATAAATTTAGATTATACATTAGGAAAATTGGAAGGGTAGCTAAGCACAGGAACAATTATGTGGGGAGGTTGGGTAATCTCCATCATTTGGGGGTTTTTAAGAACAAATTAAACAAACATCTGACAGGGATGGGCTAGACAATATATAGTCCTGTCTCAGAACAGTACTCTAGCTCAGTGGCTTTCAACCTTTCCAAACTACTGTATCACACTCAGGAATCTGATTTGTTTTGTTTACCACCAAGTTTCACCTCATTAAAATATTAGTTGCTTACAAAATCAGACCCAAATATACAAAGAAGTGTAACTGCACACTGTGACGGACCCAGCGGGGTCCGCACTGATCGGGGGAGGGGGACCACCCCCCTCCCCGGCCCGGGGCGGGTAGATCAGTGGTGCGAACGGCTGTAGTAGCCCCGGCTGGACTGAGACCGGTTGCAGGGGAATGCGCACGGACCCACGGCGAGGGGGGCGGGGCCAGGAGCGGCTGTGCCTGGCGGGCCAGGCACCTGAGGAGCATTCTGGCTGCTCGGGGCCGTGCGGAGCGGGAGGTGGAGCTCTGGACCCCGGCCATTGTGCAATACTTGAAAAGCGGCTGGGCGAGATGGCTA